GTGGTTGCTTCCACCATGGTAAGCACATGGCGCTTGCCTTGGCGGGTTGTCAGCAGCGTGATATAGTCAATCTGCCAGGCCTCCCCATGTTTGTACTTCAGCCATCACCCTCCATGCCAGAGAGGCTTTAACTGTTTAGCTTGCTTAACTGCAGCATGTTTCACAGTTGTGAATAACCTGGGCAATAGTGTCCATTGTTAAGTCCACCCCTCCACCACGAGCCCATCCATATGTTGCATCTCTGTCCTGATGGCCTGAAGTGTCATGGGCCCACCGGGCCAAAAGTAATTCACCTTTATGTTGCCAATCTAAGTCCATCTGAGCCACTTCAATCTTAGCCGCTTTATCCACTTGTTGGTTGTTCTGGTGTTCCTCAGTGGCCTGACTCTTGGGTACATGGGCATCTACATGACGTACCTTCACCACCAGGTTCTGCACCCTGGCAGCAATATCTTTCCACAGTGCAGCTGCCCAGATGGGTTTACCTCTGCGTTACCAGTTGCTCTGCTTCCATTGCTTCAACCACCCCCACAGGGCATTTGCCACCATCCATGAGTCAGTATAGACATAAAGTACTGTCCACTTTTCTCGTTCAGCAATGTCCAGGACCAGCTGGATGGCTTTCACCTTGGCAAATTGACTTGATTCACCCTCTCCTTCAGCAGTTTCTGCAACTTGTTGTCCAGGACTCCATACAGCTGCCTTCCATCTCCGATGCTTTCCCACAATACAGCAGAACCCATCAGTAAACAAGGCATACTGCTTTTCACTTTCTGTTTATTATATGGTGGGGCCTCTTCAGCACGCATCACCTCCTCCTCTGGTGACATTCCAAAATCTTTACCTTCTGGCCAGTCCACGATGACTTCTAGAATTCCTGGATGACTGGGATTTCCTGTTCAAGCTTGCTGTGTAATTAGTGCAGCCCACTTAATCCATGTAGCATCAGTTGCATGATGTGTAGAGGAGACCCTGCCTTTGAACATCCAGCCCAGCACAGGCAACCGGGGTGCCAGGAGGAGCTGTGCTTCAGTGCCAGTCACTTCCGAAGCTGCTCGAACCCCTTCATAGGCTGCCAGTGTCTCTTTCTCAGTTGCGGTATAGCTGGCCTCAGATCCTTTGTATCCCCGACTCCAAAAGCCAAGGGGTCAATCTCAAGTCTCCCCTGGAGCTTTCTGCCAGAGGCTCCAGGTAGGACTGTTCTGCCCAGCTGCAGTGTACAGTACATTTTTTACATCTGGCCCAGTCTGGACAGGTCCAAGGGCTACTGCATGAACTATCTTGCATTTAATTTGCTCAAAGGCTTGTTGTTGCTCAGGGCCCCATTTAAAATCATTCTTCTTCCGGGTCACATGATAGAGAGGGCTTACAATCAAACTGTAATTTGGGATGTGCATTCTCCAGAACCCCACTGCACCCAAGAAAGCTTGTGTTTCTTTCTGATTAGTGGGTGGAGACATTGCTGTCACCTTGTTGATCACATCTGTGGGGATCTGTCTACGTCCATCTTGCCATTTCATTCCCAAAAATTGAATCTCCTGTGCAGGTCCCTTGACCTTACTCTGTTTTACGGCAAAACCAGCTTTCAGCAGGATTTGGATGATTTTCCTCCCTTTCTCAAAGACTTCTTCCGCTGTATCGCCCCACACAATAATGTCATCAATGTATTGCAGGTGATCTGGAGCTTGCCCCTGTTCCAGTGCAGTCTGGATCAGTCCATGGCAAATGGTAGGGCTGTGTTTCCACCCCTGGGGAAGTCGGTTCCAAGTGAACTGGACACCCCTCCAAGTAAAAGCGAACTGTGGCCTGCACTCTGCTGCCAAAGGGATTGAGAAAAATGCATTGGCAACATCAATCGTGGCATACCACTTGGCTGCCTTTGACTCTAGTTCATACTGAAGTTCTAGCATGTCCGGTACGGCAGCACTCAATGGTGGTGTGACTTCATTCAGGCCACGATAGTCTACTGTTAGTCTCCATTCTCCATTAGACTTTTGCACTGGCCATATGGGGCTATTAAAGGGTGAGCGGGTCCTGCTGATCACTCCCTGACTCTCCAGTCTATGGATCAGCTGATGGATGGGAATCAGGGAGTCTCGGTTGGTGCGATATTGCCGCCGGTGCACTGTTGTGGTCACGACTGGCACTTGCTCTTTGACCTTCAGCAGCCCCACAACAGAGGGATCTTCTGAGAGACCAGGCAAGGTGGACAGCTGCTCAATTTCCTCTGTCTCCAAAGCAGCAGTATCAAAAGCCCATTCGTACCCTTCTGGGTCTCTGAAGTACCCTCTCTTGAAGTAGTCTATGTCGAGGATGCATGGAGCCTCTGGACCAGTCACAATGGGGTGCTTTTGCCACTTCCTCCCAGTCAGGCTGATTTCAGCCTCCCATAGAGTCAACTCTTGGGATCCTCCTGTCACTCCAGAAATATAGATGGGTTCCTCCCCTTGACAGCTTGATGGCATCAGGGTACACTGTGCACCGGTATCTACTAGAGCCTTACACTTCTAAGGGACTGATGTGCCAGGCCATCTGATCCACACAGTCCAGTAAATCCAATTGTCCCCTACCTCCACCTGGCTGGAAGCAGGGCCCCTCTAATAGTGATCACAATATTGGTTACGTGTTATTGACAGGTATTAGTCTTCTTTACCACAGGAGCTGGAGTAAAATCAGCTCGTCCACTCCATTTGGAAACCTGCTCACCAGAGACTGAAGCCACAGCTTTCATGGGATGACCACCCTTGACCTCTGTTCTTCTCTTCAATTCACACACCCATTCCTCCAAAGCTGAGGTAGGTTTTCCATCCCACTTCCTCATGTCTTCTCTGTGATTCCACAGGTAAAATCATAGGGTGGCCCGTGGCATGTACCTCCTATATCTTCTCTCTCAAGCAGTAGAATGCCTTTTGTTAATAGCTGAGACATGCGCTGGTACACGTGAGGAGCTGGATAGATCAGACAGATTGTCTCTCAATTGTCTGAACTCCTGAGACAGTTTTTCCCCAGCTGAAATGATGGAAGGGGTGAGATTGTCTTTGAACTCTCAGAGCTGACAAATCATTTCATCCACTGTTGGTGGTGTTACATCATGCCAGGTTATTGATGCCAATGAGTGGGAATATGATGACGGTGCACTCTAAATTTTTGCCACATGGGTCATGCACATTAAGTTTCATCTGGATCTACGGATGCATTCCCAGCATCCAGCCTACGACAGATCATGTCTACAATGGCTGATGCCCTCACAGACTGGATGGATGCCTTTCTCTAGTGTGGTCCAGCTGGCCGAACGACCCATACCATTGTCCTTGCATGGAAACCTCTTTCACAGCTGCCAAGAGCCACCTGCAAAGGCTCAGGGACTGTTTCTCACGTAATAATAACTCTTGTTCAGATGCTGTCCCATGTAGTAAGTGCATTGGTTCTTCATCTTCTTCACGGTATGTGTTGCTTTTTGTGCCTTGTTTGCTTTTCCCCTTGCATACAGCGGCAACCGATACTGGCATGAATTGCTCCTTTGGTTTAGCTGCACGGATTATCACTGTGGTTGGAGTGTCTGCAGTGTCTGCCACTAGGGTTGGAGTGGCTGCAGCATCTGTTGTGGGGGTTTGTGCAGCTGCTCTGCTTGGGGGCTGAGTAGTACCAGCAGCTGCACTGTTGCTGTCAGAGTCTGAGTAGCTGCTGTAGTTGTCACTGGGGTTGCTGTAGTTGCTGTACTTGGAGTTGGAGTAGCTGTGCTGTCTCCTGCTCTGCCAGCAGATCCAGAGACATATTCCCTTTGAAGGTGCTGGATAGTGTTGAACAGGGCTCTCTACGCATTGGACAAGCCCCAGCATTTGTCCCTCTCTGGTACGACCAGGATGACAACACACCTAAGTGTTTTACTAATTTTTCTGGATTTTGCACTTGTTCAGTGGGGAAGTTCCAGAGTGCTGGAGGGGCCCACTGGCCTAGATACTTGCCCATACTATCCCACACACCCTGCCACTCATGACTGTCCAGCCTCGGGGAAAATCTCTTGGTCCTCTTATATTGTCACCTAACCCTAGACAAGACCCAAACCTGACTCTGCTTAACTCTTGAAATCAGATGAAATGGTAGTGGGCAAAACACACTCTGTATGTGTGCCAACATGGTGATCCCCATCACAATCAGCAGGCAGGTCTCAAGGGTACCCAAAGGTCTTCAAAACCTTTACAACTCTCAAATGATGCTGTAAATGGTCTGGTGAGGAGGCTGGGGGTGTAAGGAAATGTCTCCTTCATAGGCTGACCACCCAAGAAGGGAAAAAAACATGTGTAATTGCTAAACATTTCCATTACATACCTCCCAAAGTATATAGGTGATAACCAAACTGGGAATGCAAAACAGATAAGTTTCATCATCAATGAGTCTATTGTATTACAAGTCATTACCATAAAGTACAGTGAAACAAGAACCTTAGCCCAGGCCCCCCCCCGATAAACACACAGCAAATACCGGCTGTAAGTAAGGTACAACATGCTGAAACTCAGAGATCAAGCACAACTCTGAGAGCTAATAAACCAGCATCGTGACTATTGACTGTTAATCAAAAACCATGAATGCTTATCACAAATAGATTAGACACACTCTGGTCAGATCTGTCATCGTCTCAACCCTTCGTGCCCCACGTTGGGCACCACAGAGAACTGTTGTGGTTTAAGCCCAGCTGGTAACTCAGAACCACGCAGCCGCTTGCTCACTCCCCCTCCTTCTTCCTCTCCCCGCTCCCGGAGAGACTGGGAGGAGAACTGAAAGAACGCAACTCCACGGGTTGAGATAAGAACAGTCCAGTAACTAAGGCATAACAAAACCACTGCTGCTACCACCAATAATAATAATGATAAGGGAAATAACAAGGGAAGAGAATACAACCGCTCATCACCTGCTGACCGATACCCAGCCTGACCGAGCAGTGATCTAGCCCTTCTGGATAACTGCCCCCAGTTTTTATAACTGGGCATGATGTGCTGTGGTATGGAATACTCCTTTGGCTAGTTTTGGTCAGGTGTCCTGTCTCTGCTTCCTCCCGGTTTCCCCTCCTCCGTGGCAGAGCATGAGACTCAGAAAGTCCTTGGTCAGAGTAATCATTACTTAGGAATAACTAAAACCATCAGTGTTATCAGCGCTGTTCCCAGGCTGAAAGTCAGAAACATAGCACTGCACCAGCTACTAAGAAGGAGAAAAATGACCACTATTGCTGAACCTAGGACATATATCTCCAATTGCAGCAAGTTAAGCGTGTGCTGTTGCTGGAAGCATAGCTTACACAATGAGTACAGGGCAACAAACTGTTCATGCTAATGAAGCAATGGGGAACCCCACACTGCTCAGGCCTCTTACACTACAAAAAAATTATGTTATAGTATCCCCTTCTCAGACTTAAAAAGACGAGTTCATTTGTTGGCCTTTTTAATTATAAACAAACAAAAAAAAAAACCACAAAAAAAAAAGCGTAAACATTTTCAGATCCTGCATTCTGCCTGACAAAAGCATGTTGCCTTTTCCCAGGCATTTTTTTTTTGGCAGACAGTCCTACAGTAGTATCAGTAGTCATCTTCTTCATCGGAGTCCAATACTTTCCTTCTGTTGAACTAAAATGAAATGTGAAAATAGAACGGTCACAGTAAATACAACACACAGCAAGCCTCTCAACCTCCATGCATTGAAAACATTACATGGGAGCAGAACATTCACCCCATTACCCACCAAGTCCCTGCCTCGTGTAAGAGTGCAGGACAGACACAACAGAACACTGACAGCCCAGTGCCAACATCTGCAATTCTTACTATAGGTAAGGACTGATGGGATTCAATCTCAGAACTTACCAGTGTAGGTAAGACAGGTAGTAAATACAAAGTGAAGTTCACAGAATCACAGACTGGCTTGGGTTGGAAGACACCTTAAAGCTCATCCAGTTCCAACCCCCTGCTAGGGGCACAGACACCTGCCACTAGAGCAGGTTGCTCCAAGCCCTGTCCAACCTAGCCTTGAACACTGCCAGGGATGGGTCAGCCACAGCCTTTCAGGCCAACCTGTGCCAGGGCCTCACCACCCTCACAGGGAAGAAATGGTCCAATACCTGCAATTTTTCTGCCCTTTAACAAATCAAAATTACATGTAGGAAGCTAAGCTTACCTTTACTGTCGTTTTCTTTTCTGTTTGCTGACTCACTTTTTCAAGTATTTCTATCAAACCTTGTTCCGATACCTAGGAAAGCAGAAGAAAAGCCATATAAACACATTCTGAGAGATGCTGTATCAAACAACTGAATCACATTTCCCCTTCTGTTCTGCTGCCAGGCAGGGTACGCCACAAAACGTGCGTACACTAGCTCTATAATATGCATGGTTTATTAAACCATGCATGCTAAAGTAAGTAAGCACACTAAAGCAAACCATATATATATAAAGTACATATATATTTATATATAAAGTACAGAGGAAAATTAGTAATGCATCAAGTCATTACTGCATAGAGAGAACAGAGATCAGAAGAAATACATGACCAGTCACCACCGAATCATCATCCAGGTCCACACTTCAAGCTGGGAAGCCCCGTTGCAGCCGATGCCAGGAGTCTCAGGTAACTGGAAGAATTCCTATGTGGTGCATCCACCCAAAGGTGAGGCTCCAGATTGAGCCTCAAGAGGGTCTTGCCTTTATACCCTTAGAAAACCAACCAGCTTTATGCCAGATTTCTAATTGTTTACTTGTGGAGAAGCTACGCAGGCTCTCATGATCTCACTGTTGTCTATGCTCAGAGTGTTGGCCAGGTGCCCCATTGCAGCCAAGTATGAAGGTCACAGAACAGCTGCACACCTATGTTTTCCTGCCTCTCTCTGACAAACAGTCACGATGAACATAAACATGTACACTCTACTGAATACACTTTGACAAAAACATGGTTTGTTATGACACTCAGTCATGAGAGGGAATTAGATCCTAGCTAGGCTCCCACCTGTTACACTTTCTTATAAAAGGAATTATATAACACTACTTAGAAGCTCTCAGTTGTCTTTTTCAGTTATTTAATTTACAGATACTAAAACCACCTCCCTTCCCCCCCCCCCCCTTTTTTTTTTTTAAGTGTGAATTGGGTTTGCTAACAGATACATGCAAGAAAGAATTAGAAAAATATAACTCACCTTTCCAGGTAATTGTCCAAATCTTGCCATCTGTATAAGGTAATTCTCCACTGCTTTTGCTTTGTCTGGTTTCACAAGTGCTAGATTACTTACTGCAAGAGAAACAGGTTCCATTTGTTTTAAATCATACTCAAATACCTTCACTAGGAACTAAAAAGTGACAGATATCCCTATGCAACTGTCTTCTTCATGCCAGCATCATAAAATAAATTCAGAAAGGCATTTTCATTTATGTAAAACATAGAAAGATACAAGACAGTTTTATTTCTTACTTTTACATATTTGATCCTAATTAATCTAATTTTGATTCTTACTATAATTCCTACTATTAATTAAAAAAACCCCATCATTTCGATGTCAGTTAACCCTACCCCTCCAATTGTTGCCATCAAACTAAAAAGCTGTAATGGTTTCACCTTCTCATCAGCACCAGTGTTTTTCTGCTCTGGCCTCTACAGAAGCACATACATGCTTGATCTGAGCAGCACTGGAGCACACTAGGTGGGAATTTTTAATTAGAAAGTTACTTGGATACTTACATCTTGCACGAGCTGCTTGATCAAGAACTTGAGCTAAAATAGTATTTCTTATCTCTGCTTCCCTGTAATGAAAAATCAACCACACATTAGAAGTGTGATTTGAAACACCTAAAATAATGTACACAAACCAGCTAACTACAGAAGACATTCAATTCTTGTCAGTGACTTCTTGAGGTCCCTTCAAACCCCACATCAACCCAATTCCTTTTGTAGCATTTTCGGTTGTGAGTAGCTCTATGTATGTTGACAAGTTAAACAGCTGACCACACCTTCCAAGAAATCAATGTGGATTTATTACTACTCACACCTTCCTCCTGTTTGTTATTACATCTCAGAGACAAAAGCCATGCTACCCACTTGTAAATACTCTGTATTCAGAAATCTGAATTCCATGTGGAATTCAAAGGGAGCGCACGGTACAGCAAGTGTTAAGGAACAGTCCATGCAACTGCAAGACAGAACCAAACCTCCTTATTTATGTAGAATTTTTTAATAAGTCTTCATATGCTTACAGTTACTAAATATTTGCAAAACTGGAATTTTAATTTATGCATTTCAGTTGCTATAAACTTTGAGTGTGTGCAAAGTTGAGCTCTTTAAACACGTATCTTCAACTCTCCACTTACTGCAGCTTCTGCAGTGCTTCTGCACTAAGTTCTGACACAAAGCTTTTTGTTTCACATTTTTAACTGCAATAGGTGTCCCAGAAAATTGAATCAACTAGGAAAGCATGTCCCCACTGCACTAACAGAGCCAAACCCAAACTCATCACTCAGACAAACACCAGTTTGGGAAGAGCTCCGCAAGTCTTCAAGGGTTTTTTTATGACCAGGTCTTAGCAACCCTGAAAAGCCAAGGTTTCCCAGTTCCAGAAGCAGATGACTGTGGGAGTGATAATGCTTCCCCCAAACATCCTGTTATATAACTAGGGATCATGAGGTTCATAGAACCACAGACTGGTTTGGGTTGAAAGAAAGCTTAAACCTCATCAAGTTTCAACCCTCTGTCATGGGCAGGGACACGTTCCAATAGACCAGGGTGCTCAAAGCACTTAAAAGGTTACTGCATTCAGCTGAGGTCCAAAGTGAAACCGAGCTGCTGGTGCTGTTTTCCTCCCTTTGCTCCCACCCCAGTGAAGGTTCAGACTGCCCTGAAGCTCTGTGCTAGATCATCCTGTATAGTCATGGCCTGGGAGCCACACTTGCATTGATCAGATTTTAGCTATCCCTGGATTAAATCTTCTGACATTTAAGCTATTCTTTTTTGGTGACTTTTCCAACCACAAAAAAACCAAAATCAGGTATTTCAAAGAAGTGAAAATATTTAAAAAAATATATAAATGCAAAAGGTTCCAAAACAACTCAGTGTGAGACCAAAAGTCAATAGTTCTCATTTATACCTCTGTTTTGCTTCCTGCTGCGATGAATCACCAGAAGGATCCTGAAGAATGAGATCACAATAAGTATGACCATCAACCCATCCAAACCATTCAATATTCCAGCAAAGTCAATGTAAACTAAACCCGCCTGACCACAGATGACATCCTGATAGTAAGAATCTGCTGCCCTGGCAAATAAATGTGCCACCCCATGGTTTCCTCACACAACAGCAATGCAAACTTGCATGATGACTTGTGCTGCTGGATCCATCCACAAACTGCTGTCGGTTCGGACATTATTAAAAGGCCTTCCTGTTGGGCTGAAGGTAATAAACTTTCCCAAGGCCCCGAAAGCAGACAAAGGCATTTAAACTCCATTAAAGCAAGCTGAGGAGAAATTAAATTCAACGTAATGCTTTGTATTTATCAATGAAGAAGAAAGCACAATCCTAGCACGGTAGTTTGGGACTAATGCAGCCGAGACTGCTATTCAGAAGCAAATAAAATAAAAAAGTAAAAAAGATGAACTCTGTGTTGAATCTGCACCTCAAATTTCGTAAGTACCATTACAAAGTGTGGCAGCTCAACAGGAAACCAACAGTGAGAAGAAACGGGACTGATCATAGCTGACATTTTAGCTCTAAACACAGACTGGAACGCCCGGCGATGGTGACTCAGAGCGAGCGCCGTGCGGACCGGTCGGCGGAGGGAACGCTCATGGGCCGAGCACCGCACGGCGGCAGCCCGCGCACCGGGTGCGGGCCCGGGGCCGGTGACGGCTCACTCGGGACGTCCCCAGCCAAAGCATCGGGCACGACCGGGCCGCTCCCCGCTGCTCCCCGGTCTCTTGCCGAAGCCTTTACTCGCGGCGAGGCCCTGTCCCGCCCGCCTCCCCTCCCACACGCCCGGAGAAGGCTCGGGCGTGACGACCAGGCCGTGCCGCGCCCGCAGAGCTCCCGTTTGCCCCGGCTCGGCGGCAGGGCGCAGGGGGCACTGCCAGGGCAGCAGCCGAGCGGGCGCCTCGTCCTTACCCCGTGTTTGGCCTGCAGCTCAGCCAGCCGCTGCTGCCGCAGCGCCTCCAACTCCTCGTCCGCCATGGCTCACAGACCGCGCCGGCGCCGCGTCAGGCGCTACAAATCAACCGTCGAGAGCGCTGGCGAGGGGCTGGGCGAGGCGCAGGGATTTTCCTCTTGGCGGCGCCAAGGGCAGCCCGATGTCGTGACGCGGGAGTGCGTCTGTTAATGGTCTACTGCCGCAGCTTGAAGCGATTATCATAGCCCCCGACCTTCAGCGGGCAGCGCTTGGCCTGCGTGTGTCCTGTAAGTTCTCTGGTTCCCTCAGAAACACCCCGAACAAGAAGGGACACACGCAGGGTTTGGCCAGCCTTCCCGGCAGTACAACACTGACTAACGTTCCCCTTGCCCTGCAGAGCTGTGACTCCTCAAGAAATAACTCATTGTACCGTGACCACTGCTTCCCAGCGCAATGCACGTTGGCAACTGGGACTAAAAGAAGTGTGAAATGATGTGGCTTCCTGCCCTCGGTTGCCAGGTCTGGCCCTGACCCTGACACCACGTACCACCAACAGGTACTGGCCTTGAATGGATTGGCACAAAGTCACAGAATACCAGACTGGGTTGGGTTGGAAGGGACCTTAAAGCGCATCCAGTTCCAACTCTCTGCCATGGGCAGGACACCTTCCACTAGAGCAGCTTGCTCCAAGCCCCGTCCAGCCCGGCCTTGAACATTGGCAGGGATGGGGCAGCCACAGCTTCTCTGGGCAACCAGTGCCAGTGTCTCAGCACCCTCACAGGGAAGTCACTCTAATGTCAATTCAAACAAACTGTTGCCAACACACTCATTTCATCCCTTTGGTCATCATGTTACATGAGCAACTTTACATCTCAAATTTCAGCTTTTAATGTTGGTCAGTGTCGTGCTTTAAGCCCAGCCGGTAGCTCAGAACCACACAGCCACTCACTCACTCCCCCCCTTTTTTTTTCTCCCCACTCCCTCAGGAATGGGGAGGAGAACTAAAAGAATGTAACTGCCACAGTGCAGCAGCCCAGATGGGTTTACCTCTGCGTTACCAGTTGCTCTGCTTCCATTGCTGCAACCACTCCCACAGGGCATTTGCCACCATCCATGAATCAGTACAGACATAAAGTACTGGCCACTTTTCTCCTTCAGCAAAGTCCAGGGCCAGCTGGATGGCTTTCACCTCGGCAAACTGACTCGATTCACCCTCTCCTGCAGCAGTTTCTGCAGCTTGTCACTGGGGACTCCATGCAGCTGCCTTCCACCTGTGATGCTTCCAAAGCACTGGAGGGGCCCGCAGGCATAGATGCTTGCCCATACTGTCTCACACACCCTGCCACTCATGACTGTCCAGCCTCTGGGAAAATCTCTTGGTGGTCCTCCTTTACTCCCATGGTAAATATTCGGGGGGTGAGGGGGCAGGGCTGGGGGGGTAAGGAAATGTCTCCTTCATAGGCTGACCACCTGAGAAGGGAAAAAAACATGTGTAATTGCTAAACACTTCCATTATATAACTCCCAAAGTATAGAGGTGATGACCACACTGGGAACGCAAGTCAGATCAGTTTCATGATCAATGAGTCTATTGTATTACAAGTCATTACCATAAAGTACAGTGAAACAAGAATCTTAGCCCAAGCCCCCAGCTGATAAACACACAGCAAATACCAGCTGTAAGTAAGGTACGACATGCTGGAACTGTGAGATCAAGAGCAACAACTCTGAGTGCCAATAAATCAGCATTGTGACGAGTGACTGTTAATCCAAAACAATGAATGCTTATCGCAAATAGATTAGACACCCTCTGGTCAGATCTGTCATTGTCTCAACCCTTCGTGCCCCACGTTGGGCACCACAAAGAACTGTCATGGTTTAAGCCCAGCCGGTAACTCAGAATCACGCAGCCGCTTGCTCACTCCCCTCTCTTCCTCCCCCTGCTCCCGGAGGTATGGCGTAGAGAATCGAAAGAATGTAACTCCCACGGGTTGAGATAAGAACAGTCCAGTAACTAAGGTATAACACAAAGCACTACTGCTGCCACCAATAATAATAATGATAAGGGAAATAACAAGGGAAGAGAATACAACCGCTCACCACCCGCTGACTGATCCCCAGCCTAACCTGGGCAGCAGTCTAGCCCTTCTGGGTAACTTGGTCAGAGTAAACATTACTTAGCAACAACTAAAACCATCGATGTTATCAGTGTTGTTCCCAGGCTGAAAGTCAAAACCACAGCACTGCACCAGTGGTACAGATACTAAGAAGGAGAAAAATGACTGCTACTGCTGAACCCAGGACAGTCAATCATGTATTCTTGCTAAAGACTGTATGTTTTTCACTTCGAGATCTAGTTTAACTTAAGAACCTACCAAAAACCAAAAAAACCCAAACCCCTAAACCATCAAAAACTCTTCTAACAGGATAAATAAGCCACAATTTCCTAAAAATGGAGGTTTCTATAAAGATGTAAAGATATACTTGGTCATATATCTGTGATTTTCTGGTTTTAAAAAGTAAGAAAAGCTATCAAGTGCTTGTTCCATTCAGAACCGCAGTGAATGCAGACAGAATTAGTTGAGTAGAGTTCATTTTCTTTGGAGCTTTCCATGCTCCATATGGATGACAGGAGCCTGTCAGCCCTACCTGCAAACCTTCCATCCATCCAGATAGCATGGGAAGCATATTTATACCTCGATAAACTCAAAATCGGGGAGCACGTTTGTAGTGGGTCTCAAGGAAGGGTTTGGGTTTTACTTCCATGTTAGCAGCAGAGGGAGTCCTAGTTCTACAGAAGAGTGTTTGCCGTTCATCATGCATAAACCCACCCACCCCCCAAAAAGGCTGGGTTTTTCTTCTGTGCAGCATGTTCTCACAGATGAAGCTTTAATCTATATCGTAGATCTCTGCTGCTGTAAATTCATGCTCCATTATACCACCATATGCTTTGCTTCAGTCAGAGAAAGCTGCAGTAATCCTAATACTTCATCTAACTTTATAGATATTTGTGTTGCGTATTTGATTGCATATTGTTTGCGCACACGCTTAAAGGTTATGTCTTTATAAGTTGTCTTAAATGAGTTTATAAGCAGTGAGCTGGCAGCTGATGCGATTTTATGTTTTGAGAAGGCATCATTGTGGTTATTGTCAGTTACAATATGAGATTCAGGAAGCAAAACAGAGATGGGTTAATTTAAAAAATCCAGAGGCGTGTAGCACTATGCTTTAGGTTGTATATCTGTTTTGTCTTGTCAGCTGCCTAGTTTTGGTCTGCTCTGGACAGCCTTTAATGTGAAAACATGAAAGAACAGATCCAAGTTTTTCAATACTGGCTGAGTTGCTTCACAATTTTCAGGACTTTTAAATGTGATGTAGAAACAGTGGATTCCTGAAAGGTTTGTATGCATTTGATATGCCCACAGCATGTGTCACTGATATTGATGAAGAATGGTAAACAGAAAATAAATGCTTTAAAAATGCTTTTTTTTAAAATTTTTTTCTATTTTAAACTTTTATGATAATTGTGCAGCTTACACTGCAACCTAGTATATATTGTAAATAATGTCAGTGCTATATAATTGTTAAATACATTATATTAAAAGCATACTGTGTGTGGAATAGAAAAAGATATATATTGCTAACTAATCTGTATACAGTATAAATGCATATTTTAATATAAATGTATAATGTATAATAAAAAATATATGTTTCAAAAGCCATATTTTGGTATATCCTGTTTTGAAGTACTTCAACAGACATAATTTTCCAGTGCAAACTGGGCTATTGAATGCATCTAAGTTGAATGATGTTTAAGAACTTAGGCTTTGTTCCTTGGTCAGTGAGGGCTTAAAAGGCAAAACCCAGGATTCTGTGGAGGTGGGTAAGTCTCATACTGCACTGTGTGGCTACTTTTGTCTTACTTGAGGCATCAGATAAAATTCCACAAATATTCAGATCAGCAAATTCAACAAGAGTTAAAATTCTTGTTATTGAAAGGCAAGTTTAAATTAATTTTGTTACTCTGATTGTTGCTGTGATTCATTCCTTTTTATTTTACCGTTGTAATTTAGTGAAATTAATTGAAAAATTATTTCCTGAAGTTTTCTAGCAGAATTTACTTTTTTTTTTTAAAATGGATGAAGAATAATTCACTCTGGTGCTAAAATACAATGGCACTAACAATATGACTGGAGAAAAACATGATTTTAGAGGGGAATACTCTGTATTATTCTTCATTTGTCAGCTGTCAAAGGTGCTCAATAGCAGCTGGATTGCAAGTAATAATGCAGTAGCACATTAGTACTAGTGTACATTAGTAATTCAGTGGAGTGACAGGAGGAGTTATCAATGCTATTTGAGATATGTAAAAATATCAAGGATATCAGTTTTGACAAGCAGGAACCTTCCCAAGTCCGTTGAGACTTAATTTCAAACACTAGAGGGCTCAAGAGACGTTTCTGATTTTTTTTTTTTCCACAGTGATTTAATCACTATAAATAGTGTGTCTCTTTCAGCAGTGCTTACATTAACTTCATAATTATCCTTAAGATGAAACCATATTACAGTGATAACAGAAGAATGGCAATGCATGAATAAGCTAATGAACAAAACATCTCCTTCCTAAAGCAGCTGTAAGTAAAATAAAGTGAAATACATCCAGCTATGACAATACTCTGCAGACTCGATGTCTAGTACTTCGGTTTGGAAGATGTATGAAAATACCCTGTGTAATGAAATCCTTGCTTAGGTATCTTGGGTCTGAATTAAAATTTTAGTAAAAATTAAACACATAAATGTTGCTGTTGTAATTTAAAAGATATTTAGCAAACATTGCAATGCCCTCAAAATAGCCTTCAAAATTTCCCCTTTGATTTTCATTATTCTATAATCAAACACACTAAGGCTAATAAGGATTATTTGCAATGCAACAATTTGAATGGATGCCTCAGTAGTGGGCTCTAAATAAATAAATGCACTCTTGAGAAACATTGTGCCCAGCCTGGGTCCTGGGTTTACAAAGATTTGTGAGCACTAATACAGAAGTACAGTAGGATAGATTTGGAAATAGAAGGACATAGACATACAAGTCAGATGAAAGGAGATCTCAGATAGGAAAATACAGAAGTGAAAACAGGAGAAGTGCTTTTTGTTAAATTTTTGTAGATAGCCTTTTTTATTATATTTTATTTCAAAGCATAAACAGCTAATGTTTTGCAGATTTGCCATCAAATCTGAGGGGCACTCTCAAATGTTATGTATGCTATATATATTTAAAGTCTGATACAAAAGCTGGGAAGTCAATGGCAGTATCTTACAGATTTCAGTAGAACTGAATCAGAGCTGAAGTCCAACACCTACAAAATACTTGAGTTCCTGTGTAACATGGGAAACCCCAACAAAGTTGATACCTATATGTATATATTTCCTATCTTAGGATTGCCACCACTCATAGATTTGCTTTGCTACAGAAGTGCCTATAGTAATTTTAACCTTGCTGAAGCCATTATTTGTGATTTTTATAGCTTTATGTGCTTTGATGCCTTAATTTTTTAAAACATCTGCAATAAATGTTTTTTCTTTTCCAAGAATTAGAGCATGAATGCCTTGGGTGTCTTGGCTAAAATCTTATACTCTGGGTTGTTCATTCTCTTTCTGGGTAATGTGTTTGTGCCCATACAAAGCATCTGTGTTTAATGAGCTGGAGCACAGCAAAGCCAATAAAACACAAACTCTGCATTATCAGCACATCTATGAAGTGAGGAGTGGGCTGTGGATTAAAACAACTTTCTGGTTTTCTTTTTCAACTGTAATATATCATCCTGTTCTCCTATAATAGTACTTAACTGTATTGCTACATTTCTACAAGATGAAGCACTTTGTCAATTGGTTTGATTAATGACAGATGTTGACTATACTGTTTTACAGTCCCTTCTTAAGGACTTTCTTACTACATTTCAGATTCAAGCTAGGAATTAATTTGAACAAAACAACTGTATTAACAGTCTAGAACCACTATATTCAGCCTAATCAAAAAGGTTAAGCACCTCTGGTACATTACTTGTTCTGAAACACATGTTCCCCAGCCCCTGAGTAAATCACTGAACTATGAGTAAAGGGAGTAGACAATTTAGAAATATCTCTTTAAGTTAAAGGAAAGGTATTGTAGTTGCCAGTGTATTGTTTTGTATAATAAAATTAGATACTCACACTTTTCTAAAAGCATTAGTTTAGAGGTTTTAAAACTTGCTAAATTGAGGTATGTCCACCCAAATTCATTTTTGCTTTAAGAAAACCCCAAACAAACCCTTCTGTGTCCTTTGAATTTGATGCATTTGAAGTGTGGCTCTATTAAAAGATACTACTGTGTAAAAATCAAATGCATTAACCTAGCAGTTCTCTCCTGTGTATTAGTATCTGCTTTCTTAGTAACAAGGATGAACTATTGTTATTTATTTAGTTATTTTTGGAAATGACATGGGTTTACTAGAAGTGCACTAGATTTGTTAGGCGCTTTTTTGTTTGTTTGGGTATTTTTTGTTTCTTTTTTTTGTTTCTTTCTTTTATTTAAGAGAAGTATTTATGGGATATTTATTACATTCCAACTGCTAAATTTTGCTCTAGCTTATGGAGGACAATCCTCTTTAAATGGCATAGGACAATATGGGTTCTAGTTATTTATTTAAATAATAGCTCATGAAATAGCAGATGTACATTAAAAGCATTTAATATAACTCACTTTAACTCACTGTTACCTCTTCAGGCTGCTGTTTGATAAATAAAGACAGAAGAGTAAATGGATGCCAGACTGCATAGCAGGCTACAGAGGAAGGTGATCAGAAGACTAGAGCTGGGGAAGGAAAAGAGAGACTGGGATAAAAAGTAGTGCTTGCTCCTTTTTCATTTTTGTCATTTATTGTTGCTCAGGTCAAGGTATGGTGAGAAAATCTGGGATAACTGCTGCAGCATTTAGATATTCCACACACATGGAATGGAACAGCAGCTGTTCCCAGGAAGGGCTGTGGACAGGACCAACTGAAAAATGAAAACTACTCTCAGGAAAGCGGGCGATCCGCTGCCTGAGCAGTCTTTTACCTAGACTTAGTTACAGTAGAATTCAGTAAGATGTATACTGACTGCCTTCAGTGTGTCTCACCACACCTGCGCATACTATTAAGGAAGATAATGAATCCTTCATGGAAGCATCATTCCTTATGGTTTCCTTGGGCTGCAGAAACAAAAATATTTTTCCTCTATTTCCTTATGTAGGTTTCCCATATGCTTCTTTAATTTTTGAAGGTGAGCCAATTACTTTAAAAACTTTAAAGGTGGTTTCTGCCTTTGTAGGTAGTATATTACCTTTTATTATTTACTAAATCAGACTATTTCTCAGAATAATTTTTCATTTGTCTGACACAACTGTTAGTTCTGATGTATATCGTAAGACACCTCGAATGAGCACAGACACCAGTATTTGGCACTGTCACACTGTTCACAGTTATTTAAACAAACATTATCTTCAAAGGATGCTCTCTTTCAACCTGTAGTAAGCCCTTTAGGTAGGATGCTGAGAAGCTCACCAGAAACCTGCCTGGCTTCTGCTGAAGCCTAGGGCAGAATTGAATCAGATATGTTTTCTTTGCCAAATCTGCAAATTCTGACAGGGTAAATTGTGTTCTGATTAGCTCTGCTGAGGCAAAAGTAGTTTGGGATTCTGAAACACAGAGAAATGTGGTGACAAATGAAATATATTGAAGTTTTGGGAATTATGATTATAAATAGCAAATACAATTGAGACTGAAATGATTCTTTCTATTTACTTCATGTACACAAATAATTGAAAAATACTCCAGGCAAGGTTTACTAAGATTTAGTATCAGGCATATCCATTCATTGTGGCTTACATATTAAATGCAAACCCAGCAGCCTGCTTCTCAGAGACATTTTATTAAGGCAGTTACAGGGATGAAGCATAGTTTTGAGAAAATGGATGTTTAGAGAGTAGTATAAACTCATTTACAAAAGTCATTATTTAAAATAAAAAAAAAGTGAAGTGACTCTGTGTCAGTTACGTAAGTCAGAATTCTGATTAGAAAAACTGTATGTTGAAACTTAGGATTGTAAAGAAAAGCTTTTCTGTACAGATTTTCAAGCTGTTTACTGAGATTATTAATAATGTAAATACTTTGGAGGAAACAGAATATACCATTAGCGTGTTCTTCGGTGAGAATTTATTGTGAGTGTTTTGTCTGATTTCAACACACCTCAGATTTCACTTCTGCGTATGTATCTATAGCTCATTTAGTTTGCTGATAAGATATGTAGGAGGTGTTTCTGGCTGCCTTAAGAACTATGTCCACTTACATAGGCTATTGTAATTAAAACCTTTATCCTAACCTTCTTGGTAGACAACACACTCTAGTTAACAGCAGAAAGGGTCTTCCAGCTAGTTGAAATAAACTGGGAAGTAATTGTTATAAAATACTGAAAGATACTGAAAGTGTCATCAGTTCTTCATTTGTGAGGAAGGATTCTGCTTTTAGTGCGTCAGAAGGTGTTTCTTGCACCCATCTGACTGCTAGATTCCAAGAAAAAAATGTGAAGTGCAGAGAAAAAGCTGCATGAAGAGCTAGCAAGGATCAGACAACAGCAGCTGTACTTCTGAATAATTTAGGTTTAGTTTGCAAAGTTGTACAGGAAAGGATCATCACTTACACTTGCATTTGAGAAAATGGAGCTGCAAGTGTTGTCATAGAAAGTGACAATGTGCAAACCATCTGAAATAGCACAGCGACTGTCTTGTCACTTTGAGCTCAATCCTGCAGCACTGTGTGCCAGCATACAGTGGGAAGTAAATAGCGTAGAACGAGATCCCTTTGTTGAGATAAGGCAGCAGTGCAGAGCCCTTCCTGAAAGTATGGACTGCTGCTTGAAAGCCATGTCTGTCAGGTGTGCCAGATGACATCCATATCAGCTTGCTCCAGGGGGTACATTAATACTATTATTGACAGGTATTTATAGTTACTGGCAGTACAAAGTCCCAGGAGACTGCCAGCTCCTTTCTCCCCCTTGAAAGCCGGCTGCTGAGAGTGGCAGCACTCAGTGCTGCATGCGTGTTTGCCTTTTGGTCAAAAGGAACTGCTTTCATAGCAACTTTTTCTGAAACATGCCTGTTTTATGTAGTCAGTTTAATTTTGAAATTAGCTGAAATTTAGTTTAATAGGTTTGGGTTGGTATATTTTTTTTTTTTCGTTGGTTAAATAAATCTTGGATTCTATTTCTTTCTGTTTATCACCAGAAACATTCTGTAGTTACGTGTCACCTAAGAAAATTTCTTTTACCTCTGCAGATACGGAGGCACTGGGAGCCGATTACTCGTGACTAAGGATGTAACTTTGTAACTTCAGCCCAATGCCACTGCGCAAGTACAACCTGAGAGCAAAACTCGAATTTTATAATAAGGGGCTACCTAGAAACCCACAAGAAGATAACTCGGCAGCCACCCGCGTGTTGACAGACGTGGCAGACAGCCGGCGGGATATCCCCGTGCGCTGCTGCCCGCGTAAGCGCGCGGGGAAGGTGGCTCTGGCAGAGGAGGGAGCTTGCAAAGGTGAAGCGGCGGGTGAAGCAGCGCGCGGAGGATCCCCGGCGCTGGCGGGCGGTTAAGTCGGCCGACACCTGAACCAGGCGCACGGGGCGCTTTATTCCGTGAGGCCCGTGCGCGCAGGGGTAGGGCGGGGCGGCGGCTGCCCCAGCCCCAGCGCAGCGCCCCGCGCGGCCCCTCCCCACCCGCCCGGTGGCCGCGGGAGCTGCGGCCAGGGCAGGGCAGAGGCGCGCCGGCCGGTGCCCGCCATGGTGCCCCGCGGATCGCTGCGCGCTGCCGGCTCCCTGCTGCTGTGCTGCGCCCTGGCCGCCGCCCGCGCAGCGCCGCGAAGGACGCCCTCGTTCGACGGGCAGGTCGCGGAGAACCGCGCGGCGGGCACGCGTGTGCGCGGGCTGAGCATCCCCCTAACGCGGCTGGCGCCGGGGCCGTGGTGCGCGCAGGTGCGGGGCAGGCGCTGGCGGCTGCAGCTGCTGGGCGCGGGGCACTCGCACTTCCGCGTGTGGCTGCACGCCCGCACCGCGCGCGTCCTGCTGCGCACGGCCCGCCCGCTGGACCGCGAGGCCCGCGCGCTGTACGCGCTGCGCCTGGCGCTGTGCTGCCGCCGGTGCCTGCCGCGCGCCGCCGCGCCCGCGGAGCTGGCTGCCATCACCGTCCGCGTACTGGACGACAACGACAACGCGCCGCGCTTCGCGGGGGGCCCGCGCCGCGGCGTCACGCGGCTCCGCGTGGAGGAGACGCTGGCGCTCGGCTCCGCCGTGTGGCAGGCGCACGCCGAGGACGCGGACGCGGGCGCCAACGCGGAGCTGCGCTACTTCGCGCTCCCGCGCAGCGAGCACTTCTTCGTGGTGCCGCGCAGCGGGCGCGTGCTGCTGGTGCGCTCCCTGCTCCACCTGCGAGCGCCCATCACGCTGCGCCTCTACGCGCGGGACCGCGGCCGGCCGCCGCTGCTCAGCGCCCCGCTGGAGCTCGAGGTGCTGCCGCAGCCCAAGCGTCTCCCGATCCCCCGCGATGCCGCCCGACGGCGCCGCCGGTCTGTGCTGGTGCCTCCCCGCGCAGCCGCCCGGCCGCTGTCCCTGTCCGTGCCAGAGGACGCCCGCCCGGGCATCCGCCTGGCGACGCTGGTCCCGGAGCGCTTCGCTTCTGCCTGGTTCGAGCTGGTGTCGCCGCCCGTCGAGGAGTCGCCGGTGCGTGTGGAGCGGGAGAGCGGAGTGGTAACGCTGAGGGCCGGCCTTGACAGGGAGGCGGTGGCCCACTGGAAGTTCGTCGTCCGCGTCCAGGAGCGTCCAGGTACGTGAGGGCACACACGGGGGCTGCCTCTGCGCTCGCCCCTTGGGTTGCAGCCGCAAACAAAAGTTAAATCTGTACCCAGTAGTGGTCGCGTCCCATCTATCGGTTGGAGGATGGGTTGTCCTTTAAGAAGTCCCCAAGTGACAGCACGTGCATGGGAGTGTTTGAGTGTCAAATGTTCTATGCTGTTACATTATGGAATGTGGCTTTGAGTTTTTACGCCTGTATAACTGGCGTAAAACAGTGTAGGGCTCAAGAAACATTTTATAGCGTAGGGGGTATTTACTGCCCAGTTGTGTAAAAATGCGTGGGGCAGTGGGTTGGTTATCGGAATGTAACTATTCCATCTGTCAAAATTCTTAGTCATTAACAAGCATCATGGAAAGTGTGTGGTGTAACCAGAGTGTAACTTACATGATACATGTGCTGAGACAAAGCTCTTTGCATACACAACGCTGCTTACACGCAAGTGCTTGCTGAAAAATGCTTCCTGTAGCTCTGCGTGGCCTGAAGCAGCTTGAAGCCATCGAGTTTTGAGTCGTTAAAGTTCCGCGTGTTTGGTGGAAGGTTTTGAACGGTTGGTGCCTTCGTGCTTCTGTGGCTGCACTTCTCTTAAAAACCTGAGGATTCAAACGTGCACCATGGAAACTCTGTGTGATTTAAACCTTTACAGGGTCTTAAGTTAGGTAGAATAACTCATTTCATTTATGTCTGGCTGATTACACCTGTTACTTTTTCAAATTCTTTATTTTCATTTTGAATTGTCATCTTAATATTTTTCACCTATGAAAACAGAGCTTAGTTTAAGCATGTTTTTAATTCACCAGATGGTGGGTGTCTGTGTACATGCCCCGTGTCTCTCGCTATTTTTGTGTTATGTGTGATTCTAACATTGTTTTGAAGATTGTCTGGAATGTGAGTATTCAGAAGAAAATTGTATCAACAGGAATGAGTTGGTTGAATTGATTTCAGCTTGGAAAGGTTTTGAGGGGGTTTTATGTTGTTTGTTTTCTAGTGCTTGTGAAAACTAGCAACATCTCAGCAGTGCAGCTGCTCAGAGTAACTTCTTCACAGAGCAGCACAGGCAGGCAGAAGAGAATATTTCCACACTTTTCCTTTCCCTCATCATTTCTGTTTTCTGAATGAGGGGCAGCCTGCAGGAGTGAGAGGCAGTTTACTCTTTGGTGTCTGTTAAATCCCTGAGGATGTCCACAGGGATTCTCATTAGCACTGACAGTTTCAGTGACTTCCCCAGAAATTCTAAGAAAAATTTCAAGAGAAACTCAAGAGTTCGAGAACTTCCCATCTTGCAGTAGAATTACAGCTGCTATCTCTTTAGCTAATTCTCCCCTTATGAAAATGCTTTTTGGCTGTCAGTAATCATTTATTAAGACACATGCTTTGTTATTTAAGGATGTCTGTTGGAATAATTAATTTACAGTTATTACTTCACATCTGGGCATGCTTGGGTTTTCTGTGTGCCACTCTCAGCAGATGGATACCACACTGGGAAGTCCCTGATTACATGGGTATCATTTGAATCTCTTTTAATTCGTAATTAAGACCCACTCTGCCATGAGAATTTAGGTGCTCTGTTGCTTTCTTTACTTTTGTACGTTTCTGGTTTGCTTTAACTTCTATTTTAAAAGCCATATGAGGGTAAGGGACAGAAATGTGATAGACTGTCATTATTCTTTGAGCCGCTCAAAGTCATCTCTTCAGAAGGTTTATGTTTAATGAATGAGCAAGCTGCTGTACTTAAAAGTAGCCCATCAGATACTTCATGAATTTTCAGAGATGACAGTAGAGAAATATTTGTATATAGTTGTACTGTTTCTTGAAGGATATGCAGTAGGACTGGGTACAATAACCAGTGGCTTTATCTCATGTTAGGGTATGAAAATGGGAAAAGAGATTTCTCCTGGTGGCAGCTGGAGGCTTAGGACCTTCTGGAAATGTATCTTACCAAACTTTTTGTCAATAGATATTATAAGTGAAGATGTGTTGCAGAGTCAGGTGTCAGAAGAGTCCAGATACTTGCAGAGTCTTCTCAAAACAATGTCCTCTCAAACTCCAAATATTTTATTTGCAGTAATCAAAAAAAAAAAAGAAAACAACCCGAACCCCCAATTAAAAAAAAAAAAGTCTATCTAAGGTAGAAGTCTTAGAAGTTGGAGCAGTTTAAAAAACAATAAAAAATACTAACTCGAGTACTTAATTTGCTAATAGATGTAGGCCAGTATGTAATAGCTGTACTGACCTAAAGGCTTGCAAGACTTTTAACGCTCATAAATCTCCTTTGAAAAAAAAGTGAAATGACCTAAAAATGCCAGGAGCGACCTTGCTTCTTACATATTATTGTTTAATCATAATAATGTAATATCTCTTCCCTTAGTACATTCAAGGACTGTATAATAGTTGTTCATGGTTGCAGTGACATGTTCAGTCAAGTATCTATTCTGTATTGTCAGATTTTTTAACTCAGTGTTGGGCATTGTCAGTTTTATCAATTGGACTGGTGCAGAGAAACCTACATTCTTAACCAATATAAGCGCTCTATTTTCAAGTCTTGTCTTTTAGAAGTATCTGTTGGATTTTTGAGGGAAGAGACATTTCATATAATCCTAATGCAGTCAGAAGTCTGAGAATTTGTTTGGTTTCATAGGCTGACAGCATCTTTTATAATTGGATGCGGTGAAAAGAGATGGGTTTAGGGGCACTCCAGCACACTGTATTTGAAATGGCAGTCAAACTATTTCAGCACACGTATTTTCCAAGTCTTGTCTTAAGCAGTGTAACAATCAAAAGTTGTTAGCCAGATGACTACGTATTAAGGCCTTCTTTGGTGTAACAATAGAGGTAGGTGCGGAATATGTTTTCTGAGTTGGTGTATGAAATGACAGGATTTATTACTTTGCAGTAGCTGTGTCCAATCGAGTGCATCCTTATTACCCAACTTTGATATCAAGTTGGAGGAGCTAGTTTGTGCTACTTTACGTTGAAACCCATTCCTAGAAAACAAATGGTGATAAGAGTTTTTTTTGAGATAAAAATGGATTAGGTAGAGGCATAAAGAACTAGTGAAGAACCTCAAGAAGAAAGGAACAATTATCCAATCAAGATGTTTGGTCACTTACTTTAATTTTCAGGATGCTCTTCAATTTTGGCAAGTCTTTAAATTGGACTCCCTCAGAGGATCATGATTTTGAGAGGGATTTCATTCCTTTTACATACTGAGTTCCTCTATGTGTCTTAAATTTTATGTGAAAAATTACTAATGATTTTACAAGCTTGTGACACCCTTTTAATTTATTAGAAGTTTTCCTAAGCTTTTTGGGCAAAGTATGTAACCCAGTCTTCATAGTATGTGATCATTAAAGTTTTTTCCTGTGTGTGGTGTTTTTTTTCAGTCTAAGAACAGTTTATTTTATTGTGCACATGTGGTTTGTATCTCCCCAAAGGATCACATTTCTAACTTTGAATAGTTAATCTAAAATGTTATGTTTTCTCCTATATGTTTAATGCCTTGTTTAAGCTTCTTAATCTTAACAACTGCGCTTAATGAGACGCTCTCCTTTTGAGCATGGAGACTGTCAAAAGGAATCTAGTGAGGAAGCTGACAGCAGAGCTGTCGTTGATCTGCATAGCTGTTTGCTGAAAGGCATTTTAGTAACAGATTTTCCTGCTTTTTCTTGGAAAAGGGACATCCTTTCAAAAAATGTGAATTTTGTATTAAACTAGGAAGATTTTGGATATCGCACAAAACCTATTTGTGTTGTGGTTCGGACCTTGTGGACTTGAACAAATGTTGTTGGATGCATAGTAACTCTGATTTTACTAAATGGGTTTTCCACTGAGGTGGCCCATGTTTTTTACATCTATTGAAAGGTTAAACAGGTGTTGTGCTATGATTAGTCTGACATAAAATGATGAAAGTCTAAAATGTAGGTACATCACATAGGCAAACTGACATTTTTTGAAGTGCTTCTGCTATAGAAGCCAGCAGTTGTATTATGTTGATGTGTAATTCTTATGCGGAGTATGTTGGTAAAGAGCTGATGTCATTAGCTGTATGGATCTAGAAGTTTGCCTACACACAGACAGGTATTTTAGAGACTGATTATTTATATTTTTTAGTGACTTACTGCTGCTTTTAAAGAACATTTTTGCTATGGTTGAACTTCCCAGCAAGTCACTTACTATTTTGCTTGTTTGTTTGGGGTTTTTTTAAGGATGAAAATTCTGAGTCATGGCATATCATATATTTCCTGCAAGCAGAAACTTGGGCCAGCCAGTGTTTTATGTTCTTTAATGTAGCTGGAATTCAGAGGAAGGCAATATAATAAATCCTTCTGTTTATCAGTTTCAAACACAGATAGGCATGAAAAATAAGCAATTATAGACAGATACTTTTGATGAGGTTTCAGCAGTAGATTTTGAGAATTGATTTTGGTGATAGGGAATGAATTTCAGTGCTGCAGCTTTTGTCAGTAATACTAAGTTAAAAGGAAGTAATTCCAACTGGAGGAAACGTGTTAGAAAAAGCAGACTTCAGGATTGAGCTGCCCTAAGAAGGATTTTTGATGATACACAAATTGACTCTAATAGGGAATTAAGCAGCTAAAGTAGGAAAAACCTCTGCACTAGAGTTTATAATTTTAGTCTTAATTTTTAATATAAATTGAAAAGAGAACAGTAGAGAGGGATAATAATTAATTTTGATATTGCTAAAGGCAAATAAGTGCTGTTTGCAATTATATGGGAAAAGTAATCTGCTTTCATTAGTTTCCATAGTGAAAATAAGTAAGAAAAGAGGAAAAAGTACTTTCTGGATGACTAAAAAGATGATTTTCCCCTTTTGAATATGAAGTAGTATTTTCTATATGGCTTCTAACAATACAAATTTCTAATAGAGGATGTTCCAGTGTTATGTTACTGTCATGTCTATGTGCAGCAAGATACTATTCTTTTAGTAGGATTTTTTCTGATGGATGGCATTG